GAAAGAAAAAGAAGAAAGAAAAGAAAGAAGAAAGAAAGAAAGAAAGAAAGAGAAGAAAGAAAAAGAAAGAAAGACAAAGAGAAAGAAAGGAGAGAAAGAAAAGAAAGAAGAAAGAAGGAAAGAAAGAGAAAAAGAAAGAAAGAAAGAAAAAGAAGAAGAAAGAAAAGAAAGAAGAAAGAAGGAAAGAAAGAAAGAGAAAAAGAAAACCTCTACAAGTCAGGGCTTGGTTTATGATTTTGTTGATTTTCTAGACTTAAGAAAGTAATGGAGGAAAATGTTAATAATACATATTAGGTTGTCTTATGGACAACCCCAGAGCTGATGGTTAAATATTTACCAGCACACTTCTGCATGAGAAGGAACTGGATAGAAGAGTTGTTAACAAGATCTGGCAGCTGACTAGATAAGAATAAGATGGAAAGTGAAGAGCTGATGATGCTCCCAAATTGGGAACCCAACTCTAGTGCCTTCCACAGAAACAGGCAGGGCTGGAGGTGTTGAGTTTGAGATGACTACAGAACATCCAGGTCGAGATGTCCAGGAGACAGTTGGTGATGTGGGACTAGAGTTCTAGATCTGGAAGCCATTGGCATAGAAATGGTTATATCTGTGGGAATCAATGAGATCACCAAATGAGTACATGGAGAGAAGAGAAGCAAGCCCCGGATGGAGCCTTGAAGGATGCTCACAGTTAGGGAGAGAAGGATGATGAGGAGACTGAGAAAGCTCAGCCAGGCAGGTATGAGGAGAACCAGGAGAGAGCAATGTCACGGAAGCCAAGAAAGAGGAGAGTGCCCAGGAGGAGAAGGATGGGCATCTGTACCCAGAGTTTCAGAGAAGTCAGGAAGAATGAGGTCTAACAAAGGCCACTGTGTCAGGTAGTGAAGACCATTTGTAAACTGCAAGGGAGCTTTTCCCATTGAATAGTGCGGATAGAAATCAGATTGCTCGGAACTGAGAAATGGAAGTGAGGAAATGAGTAGAGATGACCTTTTCTAGAGTTGAGCCGGGAAGAGAAAAGCTGTAGGATGATAACTTGAGGGGCTGGTTGGGTTAAGGGAAGGGGTTTTATTTCTTTTTATTCTGAACATAAACATTGAATAAAATCAACGAACATTTATTAAGCACCTACTACATGCCAGGCACTTGTGCTAAGCCCTGGGAATACAATAAGAGACAAAAGACAGTCTCTGCCCTCAAAGAACTCATAATCTAGTGGAGACAACAAACACATACTAACAAAGCACACACAGGATAAATAGGAAATAATTAACAGAGGAAAGGTTAAAAAATGAAAAGAGATTGGGGAAGTCTTCCTATAGACAATAGGGTTTTAACCGGGACTTAAAGAAAACCAGAGAGGTCAGTGGGCAGAGCAGAGGAGGCAGAGCCTTCCAGGCACGGGGGAGAATGAGAATAAACAAGGAGGTTTGAAGGATTGCCATGCAGTGGGGAGGACCCAGTTGATATTAGCGAATATAGTAGTGAATCCAGACCGAATAATTGTGGGATTCCTCCAGGGTCAATCTGAGAGGTAACATTGTATTGTCCTAGAACTGGGAGTGCAGTCTTGATACCAGCTATGTAACCTAAGGCGAGTTTCTGAGCCTCAGTTTCCTCATCTGATCATGACAATGATATGAATGATCACAGCACCTACCTCCCTGGGTTGCTTCTAGGCTCAAATGAGGTCCTTTCTGTAAAGCACTTTGCAAAGCTTAAAGAGATAAAGAAATGTAGGCTATTACTACTGTTCAGCGCCTCTAGGTCGGGGATCAAGCGAACAAGCATGTATTAAGCACCTACCATGTACCAGACCCTGGGAGCTCCAAAGACAAAAGTAAGACAGTCCCTCTCCTCAAGAAGGTTACAGTCTTTGCAGGGGACACAACATACATGTACATAGGAAGAAAACAAGCATTTATTAACAATAACAATAATAACAGCTAATATTTATATAGTACCTGGGGGCAGCTAAGTGCACAGTGCAGTGCACAGAGTACCCAGCCTGGAGTCAGGAAGACCTGAGTTCAAATCAGGCCTCAGACACTTACTACTTGTGTGACCCTGGGCAAGTCACTTCACCGTTTGCCTCAGTTTCCTCATCTGTAAAAATGAGCTGGAGAAGGAAATGGCAAACCACTCCAGGATCTTTGCCAAGAAAACCCCAAATGGGGTCATGAAGAGTAGGAACATGATTAAACAACGAAACAACAACATTATAGTGTCTACTACGTGCCAAGCATTGTGCTAAGCACTTTATAATTGTGTAATTTGATTATTATTGTTATTACAAATAATTATAATAAATGCAAGGCATTTTTGGTGGAATGGAGGCACTAGCAGGTGGGGAGAGGGAAATCAGGAAAGGCTTCGTGTAGGAGAGGGCATTTGAGCTGAGTTTTGAAGGAAATTTGGATGGTCAGGGTAACCATAGATTGGGGGAGGGGAATTGTAAGACATGAATGACCATGGCAAGGGGCAAGGGATCCATGAAGAGTCAATAATGGGTGGATGAAATGGTCAAGGGTTAACATGGGGAAGTGATGGAAGATGCCCAGAGCAAGGGTGATAACCAGAGAGTACAAGGAGGGAACGAGGGGCTGGAGATCATAGTGAGGATGGAAACTAGGTGGGAGGACTGAGGGAGAGAGAGAGAGAGAGAGAGAGAGAGAGAGAGAGAGAGAGAGAGAGAGAAGAGAGAGGAGGGAGAGGGTGAGAGAGAGAGGAGAGAGCAAGAGAGAGAGGAAAGGGAGAGGAGAGAGAAAGGAGAGAGAGAGGGAGGGTGAGGAGAGGGAGAGAGGGAGAGAGAGAGAGAGAGCAAGACAGAAGGAGAGAGAAAGGAGAGAGACAGAGAGGGAGAGGAGAGAGAGAGAGAGAAAGAGAGAGACAGAAGAGAGAGAGAGGAGAGAAAGGAGAGAGGAGAGACAGAAGAGAGGAAGAAGAAGAAGAAGAAGGAGGAGGAGGAGGAGGAGGAAGAGGAAGAGGAGACAGACAGACAGAGATGGAAGATGTGCTCAAAGGGAGGAATTCTGGGGTTCTAGATCCCACCTAGCCTTGTTCAGCTCGGCCCCCAGGGCAGAACCAGCAGCAATGGGTGGAAGCGCTGGAGGCCATTCTCACCTTGACGCAGGGGCTGGAGCAACCCCGGTCACTCTGATGCCTCGTTGGGGCTGAGCTTGGTCAGTAAAAGCTTCACGACACACGAGGTTAAGAGCCCCTCGTCTAGTCCAATCTCCCGATGTTACAGCAAAGGAAGCAAAGACCCAGGGATGGAAGATGACCCCCAGGGACGCACAGTAGGTGGCGGGGCCAGGATTTCTCCCTGACAATTACAATCCTCCACTTTTAAAAGATTCTGTGGGGCGGCTAGGTGGCTCATTGGGTAGAGCACCCGCCCTGGATTCAGGAGGACCTAAATTCAAATCCGGCCTCAGACACCAAACAGTCGCTAGCGGTGTGACCCTGGGCAAGTCACTTAACCCCATTGCCTAGCCAAAAAAAAAAAGTGATTCCTGGGGCCTAGGGCCTCCTGACCCGTCAGAATCCTTTTCCTTTAATAATCAATTCTTGTGGAAAGGGGGGAAGTCTTTTCTGCCTAAAGGCAAGCGGGTAGGCACTAAACCACTTATTCCCTCCCTCCCTCCCACACCAAAACTTCCCCTAGGACTGCCGGCCCTCTTCATCTGGCACATCCCTTACTCTCCCTCCTCTGTTCTCCCATCCGTGCGCTCCTCCCGGGGTCTCCACTTTGGGGACTGGCCCGGGCTGACCATGCCTCGTTAGCCTCTCAGGCCTGTTTCTAACCCTTAGTGTTCCACATCCCTCCTTCCCCTTTTCGGGTGCTTTTTGCATCGCGTTTCCCCTTAGAATGGAATCTTCTTGAAGCTTAGGATTACCCGTCTGTTTTCACATTTGTATCGGCAGCACTTGGCCCAGCGCTTCTTGCCTCGCCTCGCCTGAGGCCCCTCCCAGCTCCGACATCCTCTGCCCCGAAGGTCCACCCAGCTCTGCTTTCAGTCTGGGGGGCCTGGAGGGCTGGCACTGGGGAGCGGTGGAGCTCATCTCCTACCCGGGTGCAGCAGGAAGCAACGCCCTGATAGGCAAAGACAGCTCTCCTTTCCCAGCACAGTCTCAGCCAGTGTCGGGGACCCTTTGGGGATGATGTCTGGCCTGCTTCTGCCCTCCACCCTTCTCTTCATCTCTGTCCTGAGCTCTGGTAGGTGTTTGAATGGGGGGGGGGAAGGGGATTAGAGATTGGGGTGGGACTAAGATACAGACAGGGTTTGGGGGTGAGGTTGGCATGGGGAGGAGCCAGAGCGATATCCCTAGGGAAGGACTGGGTGCCCAGACAGATCCAGACAGAGGGCCTTTTGAGGGCAGGACTCATGGAACATCAAGACGGCTGCCACTTTCTAGAGGGAGAGATGGAGATGGAGACAAGGTCCAAGGTCCAAGGTCGAACATCAAACCACAAAACTCGAAGCCCATCACCTTTGTTTTAGGGATGAGGAAACTGAGGCAAGGCACTCACTTAGGCTCCCATGTCGAGTGAGTGACAGAGACCTGGATCTCACATCTCCTGGTACCCAGCTTAGGCCTCCTCCCCTTCTGCCTGGGTGTCCACTAAACCCTTCAGCAGGAACATAGAAAAGAGCTTGAAATCTGGGGATAGTAAGAAATTGGGGAGGTGAGCTGGTCCGAGGGGTCTGGGAAGCCAGAGAGAGCAATGGAGCAGAGAGAAAGGTGTCCCTTGGACACATTAGGGTCACATCTGCCCCGCTACCACCCATCTATATTTACCCAGGTTCAAATGAAGAAATGAAAGTACCCCCTCCCTCCCCATCCCCCCAATGGGTTTGGGGAAGGAGAATTGAGGGGAGGGGTGCCCCAACTTTTAAAATTACTTCTGTCACTGAGATACAGTAGAAAGTACCGCATCAAACAACCTAGGCGACTTGGGCATAGTAAGCACTTAATTAATGTTTATTGAGACCTTCCTCTCTCCCCTGCCTTGTTCTTGTGACCGTTGGGTAAAAATCTGGCCCTCTGGGCCCTCATTTTCCCCTCTTGGGAATCAGAGGGGGTTGGGTTGGTAGCTGCTATGGGCCCTTCCTGCTCTGACATTGTACGGGCCAGTGATTCTAAGTTCCATCTGAGCAAGCCCCCTTTCCTCTTTGGTCCTGTTCTCATCAGGATTGGTTGGATTAAAAAGTCTCCAACTCCGGCTCCAATTTTCTGTGATCTTAGCCAATGCTGGGATGCCAAAGAAAAAGAAAGTCAGAGGTGGTAAGGCCCTGAGAACATGGAATGTCAGAGCTAGGAGGGCCCTTAGAACAGAGACTAACAGAGCTGGGAGGGGGAGGGCACTTAGAATAGAGAATATAAACCTGGGAGGGCCCTTAGAACAGGCAATGTCTGGGCTGGGAGGGGCCTTAGAACAGACTATAGAAGGTCAGAGCAGGGAAAGCTAGCGTTCAGAAATTGAATTGAATCCCGTCTTTCCAAGGAGGAAAGTAAGAGCCATGCCCCCCCCCCCCTTAGTGACCTTTGGCTCCCAGGTCGGGGCTCACTCCACCCGCAGCTGGTTAGGTGGCTGGCACTCGGAGATCATCCTGACGGGGTTCTTCCTTTGCCCTGCCCCCACCCCTAGGCTCCCAGACCTGGGGCCTGCATGTGACCTCTGGCCCGCCCTCTGTGACCGCGCCCGTGGGGGGCACGGCCCACCTGCCCTGCGAACACGACGGGGGCACCAAGGCCAACGTGACTTGGTGGCGTGTCATCATGGGCAACTTCACGTGGCCCAAGGTCCAGGTGCAGAAGCCCACTCAGCCCAATGGGACGCTGGTCTTCTGGGAAGTGAACAAGAATGATGCAGGCATGTACCTATGTCGGGTCTCTGTCCTGGGAGAGCCGGTCTTGGAGTCCTGCGGCACCTACCTCAGGGTCCGAGGTGAGTTAGTTCCTTCCCAGACCTGACCGCTACGTCTTTCAGTGCACTCCCCCACCCCACTTCAGGGGCTCCGGGGTCCTAGCCCCCTAGCACTGAAGCGACCTGTAGAGTTCGTCTCCCTAGGAAACCAGAAGGTTTGAGGAATTAATTGGTAGAAAGTGATTCGCGAGCCCCAAAGCTCTCTATAAAGGTGAGTTATTATTATTTTAATTGTCACGATTGTCCTCTCCCCCCCATCTCCCAGCCCATCCGAAGCCCTGTGCCATCTCTCTGCCCTCCTTGGGAGTTCCACATCCCCAGGCTCCTGGGTCTAGAGAGGACAGGGCTGAGGATTTCCTTCCAGATAGAGGGTCCAGAGGCGGTCTGACTTAAAGTTCTGGCTTTGCCACTCACCCCTCTTGGGGATCCTCAGCTTCTCCTTCTGTAAGATGGGGCCAATGACATCTGTCCATCCAAGTAACCACATGGCTCTTCTTTGCTCACGATCACTCACTAGATGGTACAAATGGAAGTCCCCAAGACTTGGGAATCTGAGAACGTCCCTTTGAACCCTGAATCTCCTACTTCTCGTGTGACCTTGGGTAGGTCACCTGAATTCTTTGGGCCTCTCAGTTTCCTCATCTGTAATAGAGGAGTTGGAGACTCCATGATCTCATGGGTCTTTTAGCTTTGAATTTGTGATCCCGAGCACTCCCATTTGATAAGTGAGGAAACTGAGGCCTAGAGAAGGGAAGGTACTTGCCCAGGGTCACAGAGATCATAATAAGAGGCAGTTTTCTTGGCCAAGATACTGGAGTGCTTTGCCATTTCCTTCTCCAGCTCATTTTACAGATGAGGAAATTGAGGCAAAGAGGGTGAAGTGACTTGGCCAGGGTCACCCAGCTAGTCAGTGTCTGAGGGACAGATTTGAACGCAGAAGTTCCTGACTCCAGGCCCAGCGCTCTATCCACTACACCACCTGATAGGAGACAGAGCCAGGACCCAGGCTAGGCCTCTCTGCTGTCTTTTTTTCCCAGAATATAACGTGCAAACCCGAAAGGGTTTGAGGGGAGCTGGTGTCAATCTGACCCGTTAGCTCCATACTCCATCTTTGCCTGCGTGGTTATGCCTTGGAAGACACAAGCAGCCCAGAGCTAGGACTAGGCCTGGGCAGGCTGCAGAGGGTGACCTGGGAATTCTGGCCCTGGCAGGGCCCTCACTGATCTCTTCCTTCCTCCCTCCCCCACCCCGTCCTCCCTCTCCTAGAGCCAGTACCCAGACCCTTCCTGGACATGGGAGAAGGCACAAAGAACAGAATCATCACCGCAGAGGGAATCATCCTGCTTTTCTGTGCTGTCGTCCCTGGCACACTTCTGCTCTTCAGGGTGAGGCTCCTTTGGGGACCTGAGGCCTGATCCCCAAGCCCTCATTTTCCCAGGGCCTAAGCCCTCCTGATCCCCTAGGCTTCCCTCCCTTCCCCTTGGGCATCCAGGCTTCTCACCATTACTTCTTTCCCCATGGACCTTCGATTCTGCTCTGGTGTACTCGATTCCCCCCTGCCCAAGCTTCTTTGGGCCCCTGTTTGATTTCCCCCTATATACCCATTTCTGGCAGTTAGAAAGGTCTCCTTGAATGTAGTTAGCAGAGATGAATGGGAAAGAAGAAAGGGGACAGGCCACTTCAGGATAGGAAGTGTGTGTGGGTATCAGTCGGGGGTGCTTCCTGGAGGCAGAGCTGTATGGGGAAGGTGCTGGCGTCTTCTGGAGACAGCACTGGATTTTCAGGCAGAGGCCCTGGGTTTGGTTCCCAGCTCTGATGTTTCCCTTTGGGCAGAGTGTCTCTCCTGGCCTTGGCTTCTCCTGTTAAAGGAGAGGGCTAGGTGAGCTGAATCCCATGGTCTCTTCCAGCTTTTAAATCCCACAGCCCCATGACCATGGGGCTCTGGTTGATTACTCCCCACTCCCCACTTCTCCAGCTGATTTCTCCCCACTTCTCCGGCTGATTTCTCCCCACTTCTCCGGCTGATTT